CTACGCATTCGGTGGCTTCCGGGGCGTTCCTGATGATGAGTAGAAAATCTCGACGCGAGATATGTAATGGGGAGTATATTATTTGAATGCGCATTTCGTTTCTATTACTGATCGAAAGTCCACTATTAAAATCGTAATTAAATGTGGCGCTTGAATCTTTATCTTATTCAGTTGACAAATTCAGGATGATAAACTGAAGGTAAAAAAAAGCTAATAAATCTTCGTAAAATAGAAAAAGCGCCAGCACCTTTATAGTACACATCGCGAAATCTTTCGTTCTGGAAGCTCTAGAATTCTGCGAAATCGATCGTTCTATCTTCAGCTATAAATCACTCGCTCTCACTGCCACTTGTATTTTGCAGTAATTACATAGAAAGTCTGAAAATGTGCAAACGGCAAATGCATTATTAATTTCTTTAACGATACTACTAATTGTTTGAGTTGTATAGATCCCTTTTTCCTCACATCCGGAAACTAAATCCCGTATGTGCAATGTGTAAATATTTTATAGACTAATTTTATAGTTTAGAGCAGTTTAGAGCTAGTTATTGCACGAGATATCAAGATTGATTTTGATATTATTTTATCTTGTCAATTTTTTTTTTTAATTCAAGACAAGATTTTTAGTTATCAAAACAAATTAGATAAAAAAACTATTATCTAAACTTAACAAATTTTATTTAATAAATAAAATTTATATTAACAAATTTAAAAACAATTAATGTAATGTAATAAACAAAATAATAATAATTTTTTACATAATTATTTGGCTACACAAAACTTTGCATGCAGTATGTGTCCTTAGTTCTCTAATATTGTGCTTATGAGATGCGTCTGCATTCTGATCATCCATTGTATGCAACTGCCTTTTTGTGAAGACAACATACATGTGCATTTTGAAAAGTAAGCGAATGACACATAAATAGTAATAATTAAATTATATTAAATTATTTTTAATTATGTAATAAAAAAATTATTTTTAATTATATAATAAAAAATAAAGATTATGTTAAACATTTTATTTCAACAATTATTTAACATCAAATAAAAATCCTTAATAAAATCAAGACAAAACAGATGAGATTTTTGTTATGAAAATTCAGAGCAGGTAGGATTTGAATTCTCGAAAATTTTCAAAATCAACATGTTTACGAACATTGTCTTGCCTCGAGTTTTGTACCCTACAAGAGTTTACATCGATAATAACGATTTCTAAACCGCGAGTGAAACTTTTCAACTGTTATGCGAAATCCATCGCGCGCGGTCATGCTTTTGCGGATAAAGATACGAGTCGTTTCCGTTGATTATGATACAAGGACAAAAAGCGACGTCATAAAAGAAGAAGAAAAAAGCATAAATATATATTAATCGCTATAAAAAAATTTTTGCAAACTGTACAGGACATTTTTGCACGCTCGAGAGGCATCGGAATGCGCGTGCAAGAGTTGGAAATGTTCCTTACGTAGCGCTATCGCAGGTAACGTGAGACTTTGCATTCTACGCTGTTCGCAAAGTACGATGGCAATAGCAATAATATTCCGCATCGAGAGACGCAAAAAAAAATTTCACAGCGAGAAATTTTACGTGACGCGAATAATTTCGAATATAATCATCGTGCGTATAATTATTCGCGCACTCTGCGTGCGCGTTTTCATTTATACAGGATGTTTCTCAATCGTGTTTTGTCAACGTTTCGCAAAGTCTTTTAAACAATTTTTTTTTTCAAATTTTTAGCTCTCAACAAATAACGTCCAAAGTAATTTATTCATCTCTTCTTGCTCCATTCACTTGGGACAAAAAAGGCCATTGTATTGGCAGCAATGAAGAAACATCTTGTATATTGCTACATGATGTAGCAAGCAAATTGTAGAACAAGTGCATGTTATCTATTGACAAGTAAATCAAGTTGAATACATTATGTATTCGCTGTAAAGTAACTCCTGTAATAACGAAAATAATATAGTACCAGGCAAATAGAATTGATTACGAGTTTAATGACGAGTTGATACACGAGAGAAACAAAGAGAGAGAGAGGATGAGAGATTGAGGTAGAACATGGCAAATGATTCACACACGCGGAAATCTGCTGGTAGATAAACATGTTAAATGCTATGCGTTTTGCGTTTGTTGAGGAATCATTCCCGCGACTAACAATATTACGTTATGCATGTAAATATAAATGATTAATTACAGATTGATAAACGAGGACTATCGTCTTGAGAGTCGGGAATTTAAGCAAGTGTGCTGCGCATAATGAAATCTGCTAAGGAATAAATCAAGTTGAAGATATGTTCTGCGTACAAAACGATTTTTTATGTAGAAAAAAATTAAATTCATTAACCGTTTCTTCGATTTGCATAAATATGTCTGGAAAAAGATTCTGTTCCGCGAATAAAGAATGTTCACGGCTCTGACAAAGAGAATAATATATATGTATTCGTGAAAAATATTCTTCTTAATTCTCAAGATGACTAAAGACGGCTTGCAAAGTTTGACAACTTATTTAAAGGATAGCCTATTTTCATGAGATGCAGTTACGCGCAAATAATTTTAATCAATAGAATTTAATGTTGTGAATAGAATCATTATTACTGACGTATAGATAGGTTATTACGACTTGATTCAGCAACGTACAGACTGTGCTAAAATGAACTCGAGTGCTGCTCACTCACCAAGAGAATGAGTAAGACACAGTAAGAGTCATCGTGAATGACAGTACATAAAATATAAATAAATTTGATTTTTGATTCGATTTGTAAGATATTTGACAATTGTACAGGTAAAAAATTAAAAATATTTACATAATAAAAATATCCGATAGTTAAAAAAAAATATTTTGCTGATAGTAAATACAACAAAAATTTAAATAATTACTTTTTTACATAAAAAATTTGTATTTTTTATAAAAATTTATATTTTCTACTAGAATATTATTTATATAATGTGTAGAATTTATGGCAGGAAGTTTTAGTAATAAATTATTTGTAATAAATTTAAATTCCATTGCTAAATATTAATCACTGCATCGGAAAAATATCAGTTTCAGTTCAGCTAGAATGATCTTTTTATCGAAAACAATTTTTTTATGTCACAATTAAATTTTAAGTATAATTAATAACAAGTATAATTAATAATTATAATTAACAACAAGTATAATTAATAACAAGTAATAACAAGTATAATTAATCTTAACAGACACAGAAAAATTTTTTTTAAATATAATTCTTTTCAATATATCTATATCTCTATCATTTAGATTGATTAAATACAAAACATATACGATATCACGGTATTTACTAATCATTTATCTATCTCAGCTAATTTTCCAGGAAATTATTGGTGTAGTTGGAAGATCATTTTCTTGAGACTGCAGAGACACAAAGGAACAATAAAGTATGTATATACTATACTCATATCAAATTATACTCGTTGTCTTTGTCCTTCCCAACTTTTTCATGTATGACAAACGCATGACGTATCGTAAGAGAGAATGAATTGCGGTAGCAACACGAAACGTGGCATTAAATGCGAGAGCGATTTAAGGACTTATTCGTGCGTAAATCCAGACACACGTGCGCGAATACGGTTCGTTCAAAAGTAGAAGCTCTATTAAATTTTATCATACGCAGTTTACACATTATCACTGGACATTTTATCACAACACAGTGCGTGTCGCGAACAAATACGCTCGCGAAAGTCGATGGAAACGCGAATAGTCCAGTTTAAAGGAACTGAAAGAATCAGAGTCAATAATCACCGCACGCATGATGATTGAGGTCTTGAAAAACGCGCGAATGATTCTATCATTTACTTCTTTTCCGTAAAAACTGTGTTGAAGAAAAAAGGAATATATTTATCTATTTTATCATCAATCTGATTTTTCAGCATAAATTAAAAATCCGTAAAATTGAATTTAAAGAATTTTAAGAATTCATCGCATGCGCAATAAGAGCGTATATATTTTCACTTTAATATTTTATATCGTTTTAACAAAATGACGAAATTTCTGACTCGCAATTTTAAGCTTTCTTTCTTTTGTGAATTAATTATTTTTGACATAATTTAATAATTTTTATGAAATATATACAACGTTTTTCTTTACTTTTTTTTGCGATCTACATTTAAAAAGATAATTTAAGACAGCTGTACATCTTTCTCTCTCTCTTTCTCTTTAATAAATTGATCTATTAACATTGTTTTCTATAATGTTGGATTATTAAATTGTATAAAGATAATTCTTGTGGTTTTCTTCATGTTCTCAATAAAATAAGACATTGGCAAATTCATAATAGATACGCAAAAATAAAATGACTAGAAACTTTTTTAGTCACAGAGAAATAAATGACTCAGATAAGTATATTCCCTATATCGCATACAAACATACGTAATGCTCGTGTAATGGAAAATATTTTAAAACCTGCATATTGTATAATGCATTCTAATAGTTTTTCCTTCTCCATTTTTCATTATCATATATATGAAACGATAATCTTAAATGATCAGAATTATTATCGGTGAGGAGATAGACATATTTCAATGAAGCTTCATCAGTTTACAATTCATATATCATGAACATGCTTATCTCGTATTTGTCCTGGATTATCTCGTATTTGTCCTGAATGGCTCATACTGCGGTATCCATTCGACAAAAATTAAATTAGAGAATATACGCAAATTTTCTGACACGAAAAATTGCTCTCGAACATCTAATTTTCGCTAAAACTCAATTCAGAATATCGTGTTTACTACCGCTGATATACATAGCGTATCAGAGAGTGAATTAAGTCCGCAATTTAAGATCTGCCTTAGATAGTCGCAACTTTATATGCGTAGCGGTCGAAATGTCGGACTTGATTCACTCCAGCTCCGAATCCTCGTGCTCCGAATCTCGGATGAACGAACGAAATCTCCTCGCGAATTTAAACGCTTTTGCATAAAATAAATTCGCAGAAATAATTCTTTATAACAATAAACAAAATTTATAATAATAAATTTTTTACCTTTTCGGAGAAGATCTCAGAGATCGCATCCGGCGAGGCACATTTAGCACCGATAATCCCCGTTGGTGAGCAGCAAGAGAAGGCGAGTCCTCTTTCGAGAGTCACAAGTTGAACCACCGCACAGAATAAGAACGAAAAAAAAGGGGGGAAAGAAGAAATAAGAGAAAAAGCAAAACGCCCACGCGATCGCGTGGCACAGCCGAGAACGACTCGCCGACTGCGACTGACTGACTGACTGACCGACTCCTTCGGTCTGCTACACAGCCACCGCACTTGCATCAACACACATATACCTGGTACATCCAGCACTCTCCCCTCCGGCTCGGCAAGCCTTTCGTTTCCAGTTCCATTCCAGAGCCGACCCAAGAGTCTGGTCTCGTGCTGCCTCTTTTGTTGCATCTCGTTCGTTCCGCACGCGGCGACTCGGTCGCTTCCGACCGACGTTATTCCTCTTCGCACCTTTGTACGTGGATCAACCTACGCACAAAGTAATGAGAGGTGTAAATCGATTGATGTAAAAGAAGCACACATAATCTTTCAGAAAAGAATATGAATTTGCAACGATTTTTCCTTAAAAATAACTGTGTGTTTTTTATTTGTTTTTAAACGATTTATTTCTCTTATTTTATTTTATGTATAAAATTATTGGAGATTGTTGAGACATGAATATTTTAAGAGATATTTCTAAATTGTTTGAGATGTTTATAAATTTATATTAAAGTAATATATAAAATATCTCGTAAACTTTCTCTCTATTCAATATTTAGTCATTGGACTCTTATAACGTTTTACGTCAAATATTGCAAAGAATTAATAAAAAAATTGATTAAAAGAAGGATGATTCCATTAAAAAAAATAAAAATAACCTTGAAATAAATTCATGACTTTTTTATTCAAGATCGTTATCATATTATGTCCCCCTCGAAATCATAAAACTTTTGTATTTAATATTGTTCGATGAAGTCTTCATTTTTGAAAACTGCATCATTTAAAATAGGTCATTCTGTCATAAAAAATTTTGCTAGTGAATTTGCAATTGAAATAGAATTGATGAATTTAGAATCAAGTTTAATTCACAATTAAGTACATTTTTCTTTATTTATCTACAAAGCAGCAATAAATCCGTCAAACCATCCGTCAAATCGAACCATATCTTAATTGCATGTAATTCAATTAATTGCTTCAATTAATTGCTTGGAGTTATTAATATGGAGCTATTACGTTCTTTGCCATCTTAGTCGCTCAACTAGAAAGAAATATTCTTACGTGTCTGATTTTCTTATGTGATTTCTAAAGCTAAATAATTTCATTTCATCATAATTTATAATTAGGGAAAGAATATCACATCTCTCATTTATGAAATATTTTTCATTTACTATAATCAAGATATAATCGAAATAAATTTTATCTAACAAAATTAAGGATTAAATTAATAATCTTTTAGATGATGTTATTTAGTACAAACATTTAAAAACTTATATTTTGTAACTGCAACACCATACGGTTTCTTGCTGAAACTTAAAACTTCAATAATAACTTTGCTGCCTAATCGATTCTGGCACATCGAGTTGCATCCAAGCATTCCAAATGCAATGACATATTAAAATTTATAGTACAATTTTTTTCTTATAATAGAAATATAATATAAGCGTAAAAAGTAATGAAATAATATATAATATGTAATGATCTATTAAATTTCTTGTACCATTATACCTTTTCGCGAACTTTGATCAAATTAAACAATAAGCTATAGATTTTCCTGAGAAAGTTTCCGTCTAACAATTTTTTTTTAAACCAAAGTACTAAGAATTCAACTATCCATTTTTCGAATTGCAATAAAACGGGCCTACACAGTGTATATGGTCAGTTAAATATATTTTATTTTCGTATTTTTCATAGTTCAGTTGAATTAGAACACGCTCCACATATTCGTAATTCAAGGTTACGGTTGTATATCTCGACATGATCTCAATTCATTAGTCTTTGCAGACAACCCGACATACCTCCTTGCCAAACTGACGATCATCCACTTTCACTGAACAAATTTTAATTTTTTAAATATCATATAATAATTTTTGTCATGTTAGAAGAAGAGAAAAAATACTCTTTAAAGACATAGTGATATAAAATAATATTTAATTAATTAGATTATAAAATAATAAAATAAGTTTACAGATACTGTGTAAATATTTATGATTATATACATAAGATTAATATAATATAAAACTCGCATATAATATCGTGCTACAAACATTATTAAAGCTATATATATTGCACAAAATGAGTTTATTTACGCACAAAGCGATACATTGAAATAAATAGAGTGATTCATGTTAAATATGGAGATAATATATATGTCTTCTCTAAATCTTTAACACTTATTTTATTTTACATTTAAGTCCGATACGATAATATTTCTTATTCTTTCATTTATATCTGGTTCGTTAATATCGCTTATACGAAGATACGAAGTTTGTTGTAACATATCGTATTCGATGTCCTGTTGCGGTGTGTTTGCGTTATAATTTGCTTCGTTTTCATCGCTGATATCTAAATTATTTAGCTTACGCATCACGTCGGGTCTGATATACATGGAAACTTCAGATATATTTTCTTGCATCGGGTTTCTATAATTACGGTCGTAAATCGATAGGGTTGACATGCCTTTAATATATTCCATGTCAATATCTGGATCCGCAGAAATTCTTAATGCGTTGATATTATTCGTACCAATAGCTTCCAAAGTAGCATCCATCTTATGCTGTTCCCATCTCCATCGTAATTCTTTTTTAATTTCACAACCCAACAGAATCATTTTTTTTCTCCTCGAAAGGCGTTTAATTTTTATAAACGGCCTTGGTATTCTCTTTATTTTCCCCATTATACATCAAACAATTTTCTATCCATCAAGCGATTATATCAGATTATACCTCTTTCCCAAATATCAATTATAAAATCCTACATTTTTTAGTATTTAATTCAAAATATGTCCTGGAAATACAAATATCATGTTATTCGACTAATTGTACGGCATGTGCATCTACTCGATTATGCAGATTATAATTATCCCGTTTGTTACTAATGAATAATTGAATATAAATTTCTAAATCCAATTTTTATTGCATTTAAATTTAAAATATAATAATTTATATATATATATATATATATATATATATATATAATATAATAACTAAAAGAATATAAATTATTATATTAAATATAATACATTATATTTAGTTTTATATTTAATTACAATTAAAGTATAAAAATCATTATATTTATAGATTTTTTATATTTTGAAACTATTAAGTATCTTTAGAATCGATTACTTGAGTCATCAATCAATTTTTGCAAAAAATTGCATTCAGAATTCAAATTATATCTCGAATGAATTGACAATTCGATATATCTCGAATGAATCAAAATGCGTAGAATCATAATTATCGTTCTACTATCGCCACCTATGGTGACTGAAAGTATTATAGCCTAGTATAGCCTACTCCATCAGTACACAATATCATCGTTTACATACCTATTAAAATGTTCGTCTTTGAAGATGTTGTGTTCAGAATGTGATACATTGAATTTTATTCAAATGTCTGGATATTAATAGTTGTAATATTTTTATTTTTCCCTATGTTATGGAACAAAATCGCGCAGCACTTGTTACGATCTACTGCAGCCATTGAGGTTGACTGCTAACTGTTGGAAGTAGTATATCCTGCCATCTAGCCATACTTTGTCAACTAAAATATAAATTCAATAGTTATCAACTATCATCTTCCTGTAAAATATATATTTAATTTTCATATCGATTTAAAATAAGATTATAGATTTCAAAATTATGTTTTTATATTAATTGACGTTTACTTGGATTTGTAAAACTATATAAATTATTATAAATTAATATTATAAATTAAATGTCAGAATGCAAAAAAACAATTATGTTATAAAATAATATTATATTATAAAATAACATTAATATAATATAATATTAAAATATATATAATATAATATTTATATAATATGATAAAATATATTTTTATTTTTTTTTAATATGAAATCTAATTCATTGAATTCTTTATTGATTTTTTGTGGCACCATAAAATATTAAAATTATGTTATATTTAAATTAAAATAAATGAAACATCTTTTTTCAAAAATTTCATATTACTTACTTATTGTTAACATAAATGACATGTTAAACATAGTTTACATCGATTTTTATAATTTATGGGAAAATATTGATTGTCTACCCATGATCTGAAAACATATTTATTATTATAAATCATAAGCGGATATCGATAATATTTACCTTGAAATGTCGTTTGTAAAATTGTAAAAAAATCAAAATCATTCAAAAATTTTATAAAAATAACTGTAAGAAAAAATCCATTAAGAAATGAAGAGGAATACATTAGACTAATCGAATAAAATTAATCTGAGAATTATTTTTATAATTTTACTATTAAAAATATTTCTAAGAATATTTTTCTCTTGTTGATTTTTGTTCTAGGAAAGATTAATTGTTTGTTAAAGATAAATAGATTGTTAAAGAAAGATTAGTCGAAGAAAAATATATAAATATCATATTTAAATATTTAAATATTAGAAAGAAAAAAATATTATTATAAGTGCATAGGAAATTTTATATAAAAATTTTTCAGTATAATTAACATCATGAATCGTCGGATTGTGTATTTATTGATTATTTTGAATTATTAGGGAAAGAGAGAGAAGCAGATGTGACGTTTTTACAACAGTTTTTACTTGTGTAGAACCTGAGATGTGAATTTCACGACAACCACAACATAATTCGAGTATTCATTTAGATGACCGCAATTATGCTCGGTCTCGCTTCCCGACAATGTGAAAGTTAACAGACATCTAACAGACGTCCTAATCCTTCAGATCCTCTTTTATAGATATCTCAGATGTTCTAAAGATTTCTTTTAGACATTTGCATCGTCTGGATTAAAGTATTTTTAAATCAATAATATTTCAAAATGAAAGTAAATCTAAAACAACTGAAATCGAAACCGTTGTTATAAAATTCTGATGACTTCAAATTTCGAAACATAAAAAAAACGATCACTATATAATTATGAAATTATTCCTACGGCATCGAAAATTGAACTCATCATAATTTAAAATTCTTTGTAATAACCCTTTTCTAATCTCTCGATATAATAGTTTTCGCTAATTTTTCATGTCTTCTTCAAATATTCAAAGCAATGAAATACAATTATAGTTAACAAGCTACTTCATTTAAACATTTATAAAAAATTCTAGAAAAGAACCATCTTCGATAATAGGTTAAATCTATAATTTCTTTAAATAAGTCCTAATAATAAGTTTCTATAAAATTTTTTTCTATAACGCATCTCTACTAAAATATTTGTCTTTAAAGTTAAAATTTCAGGGAAAGTCATATCGAGAATTTTTTTTATTAATTTTGACTAAATCTGTTTCAATAAGCTTGAATACAATTAATGTAATTTTGTATCATTCAAAATCATTGCTCTATTATCTAAAGGTTTATTTTCTATCGGTCAAATGTGTTTTTCTTGAAAATAATTAATTTTAAATAAAACAAAAACATTCTTTTATTAGAAAAAGATGTGGAGGAAAAACATACTTAAAAACATATAAAAGAAACCTTCTGATAGATTAAAGTTTTAAATTAGAAGGCTTGTAGATAATCCGCTCCTGACTCTCCGACGTGGAATCAAGAAATTTAACATGCTACATTTTCAAAACAACTTTACTTAACACGAAAATAATTATTACAAATTATTAAAATCTACTAGAGCGACGTAAAAATTATTTGAACCAGAAATGCTTCTCAAAAATTGTAACTTTAACGACAAATATCTCGAGATGCATCGTAACAAAAACTGTTATAGGAACTTATGTGATTATTTTCACCTGCTGTACACATGCCCACGAGAGATCGCCCACCTTTACCGAAACATTCTGTACATGTAACAATAGAGGAAGCGTTTCCGCATCGGGCGGAAAGAATCTGCGCACGTGCACCGAGCGCGACCGACCTGACCTGACTGGAAGCAAAGGGATGATCAATAACTTCCAGGATATATAAGGCTCCGTTCCGGTAGCGTGTAGCATCTCTTTGAGTTCACGTGATCGGTTTATCGCGCAAGCAACGGACCTCTTGGCCCACGATCGCGTTGTCGGCCGACTGCGTTTCAAATTGGTCTGTACGTCAGATAGCATCGTAGAGGTATTACACATCCACTGGGTATACATATATATAAGTGCTTAGCGTGTAAGATACGCACGCCGATAAATTACACGAGATTTATCGGTCAATAGTAATGTAAGATCTCCTCATCTCTTTTCCATTGCGAACGATCTCGGCGACTTAAACAGGAAAAAAATCGAGCAGGTACGACGATATTTTTACCAAAGTGACGATATTTCGCGGTAACAGTGAAAATAAAGTAAGCTTCAATTTTCCATCGACGAATCATTAACATTGAGAAGCACGTGCACGATGTCTATCACGAGAAGTACGGTAAATATGATTGATTCTCCGCGCCTACGGACTTATAAATTTAAATTTATTCCTAAAGCCGCGTTTATATAATCAATTACAAGACTAAGATCTTACTCGCGTTATTTTGCGCGTAAACCTCGTGTCAAGCGCTCCGTGAAATATTGCGAGATACTCTTTGATTGGCTCGCATTATAAAGTTTTCCATGACAGCGATCAATAAGGGTTAATTACGTTTATGATATCATAATAATGTGAATCTACAATTGTCTAAGAGCTTATCGCGATGTAAATTCCGATGCCTTGCCGATATCGTTCGCAAACGATTAAACGTTGAATTGTGTCAGAAATATGAACATTCTTACGAGGCTTTGCGCACATCTCCACGAGCAAAAGATTGACAATAAATAATTAACAAATAATTAATAATTACGACGTATAGTGTCCTTCTGTTTTCGCAAATCGTTTTGTCAAATTTTCCCATTTATTTTCCACACGTCCGCTAAATATGCGTGTGGCATGGTGTAGGCCTCCTGGGGATTCCCGCCATGTAAAAAAACGGGAACGCGTCCGGGCACGGTACCTCCTGGGTGACGAGGAAAGCCGTGTCGCTCTTTGTTCCTGATAATTATTAGAGAGGATTCTCATTTATAAGGAAATCCGTGCTTTATTCTCTCCCATTCGCGATTTCTCAGCCGCTCGCGTCGCTCGCTGTGCAACTTATGCGCGACGACGAGCCGAGAAAGTCAGCACGATTTTATAAGCGAGGCTCTTCTTAATTTGGTTCGCGAACGAATTCTCCTCCCGCATTAACCCGCCGGTATTGTTTCGTAATACCTTAGCGAGGAATGCTACGCGAGTAGCGTTCCACTAATTTGGGCGCGGCTCCGCGCTAATCGACTGTAAATAAGGCTCTAAACAACCGTTTTTCCACGAAATAATTACGTTACTCGCATCATGAGTGCACTCGCGTTTACGTTATCGTAATTTCCGATCATCATTAATGTGCATATATATAATTTGTATTTTTTTTCTTTTTTTTTTTATTAATTAAGATCGTATCCACGCTTCATATCGTTTTTTCCCGCAAATATGGCGCCGAGGTATGTAACGGGGCACGCCGGTAAATCGAGTTTCGCCCGACTCGGTATATACGACAGAAAATCTCACTTTAATGAGTGAAACCTGTATCTATTAAGGCTTAACGCCCGTCCGTTCGACCTGTTACCATGGCGAGGCTGACGCGATTAAATTCATCGGGAGAGAAGCGTTTTATCGTTATTGTGCGCGCAAGTATTTGCAATGTACCATTGTTCGCGAAAGGAATGCAATCAGACGCGGAGGCGGTTATCTCGACACGCGACGATTGAAGAAAAAAAAAAAGCAATACCGAGAGCATCTTCTCGCACCTACTTACCCACTTATATCGCCATTCTCTATAGGGTTGCACAAGACTCAAGACCGAGACAATATTCGTAGAGATGTTGTATTGGTGTTAAAAATGTTTCAAAACTTAAATCTTAGCTCGGGCTCTTGAATAAATCTTTATAGCAAAAATCTTGTCTTGAATCGTCTTATTTCGAGATTTTAATAATTTAACCATTTTTTTATCTAATACTGAACTGATTGTTTTAAATAATATATTTAATATAATTTTATAATAATACAATTTTTGTATCTTATAATAATATAATCTTTATAATATAATTTAAGATAATTATATTTATATAATTATATTACTATTTATGTGTCATTTATTCACTTCCTAAAACACAGGATATATATATATATATATATATATTGCATTCTGACATCATTATATGCAACTGCCTTCGAGTTTATTAATAATTTTTATCTAATATTGAATGATTATTTAAAATAATATTTAACATAATTCTTATAATATAACTTAAGATAATTATTATTATTTATATATGTCAAATATTTTTATTTATTAAATAAAATATTAAATAAATATTAAATAAATATTAAATAAAGTTTTTCAAGATTGTATATAATATCGTGATCTTTTTCTCATCAAATTGATATAAAATGTGCATATTTTAGTTTTTTTATTAATAATCCTGGCAAGATTCTCATCAAATTGATATAAAATGTGCATATTTTAGTTTTTTTATTAATAATCTTGCCAATATTCTTGACAATCTCACTTTTGATATTGTCGTCATAACTTGAATTAAAAA